CCTACCTACCTACCTACCTACCTACCTACCTACCTACCTACCTACCTACCTACCATGATGGCTTTTGCACAATCTTCCCCAACATTGCTTTTTATTGTCACAAGAGAATAGTTCATATATAATGTGATTCAACTGAAATATCTTGATTAAGAAATCTGTATGAAACAACCATAATTTTTTTGCTGTACATAGCTTATTGCAGCTGTTTATTGCAGCTCTCTGTGATGAATACCAAAACATGGGCTTCAATATGAGCAGATGGAAAAGACGTTTCAGTGAAGAGAAATACAGAGATTCATCTCACTTTTTTAAGAAAAAAGAAAATATGGAAGAAGGATTATAATTCACAACTATGTACCTGACATCAGGTCTGGATGGGATTTTCCCCCTTGGGGGGAGTACAGGAGTTTGTGATGGATGGAAACCTGGAGGAGGGGGAGGTGGGGGTGAGGATATATCTGTAGACTGTATGGCATGAATGGGTGGTGGAAGTGGGGGAGGCAAACCCACTGAATTGGATGAACTGGAACCTGGAACAGAAACAAGAGACATTTAACATATATGAAAGCATCACAATTCCTTTCCATATTGCTAGGCTAGCTCTGCAGTCTGCGCGGCACATATTTTTATCAAATCAGATGCTGATTAATCCATTATGCTCTTGCATAACTTCTGCTTTGGATAAACTGGCCATATTCTAATAATTACAGTTTACCATGTGCATGTTCATGCCTGCTTTCATTCTTTCCTGTACTCTAGAAAACAAAGAAACTCTGAAAACATTATACATATATCATGCAAAACTGCTCCAGAGATCAGAATGGAAGTATGCTTCCCAGTGGCTTTTGTTTAACAAATGTCTAATCACTCTGTATAACGCTAATGTGAAGTGACAGGAGCATATTCACGTTATAGTTATAGAAACTTTTTTTTAAAAAAATACTGCAAATTGACAATGAAAGAGAAAAAAAAAGGATACTTCTGAAACCCAGTAAATACTACAGAAATCCAGATAAGAGATTCTTCCATTCCTAATATTTGGGGGAAAAGTAATCAACAAGTTTAGGGAGATGAACCATTCCGATTCCCACTTTTTACAGTATTTTTTTACAGTATTACACACTGTATATCAGGGGTTAGCAATATATCATGTTGACCAACAATAACTATAGGCAAAAATAGCAAACAAGATTTAGGGTGACAATGCTGAAATCATACATTTAGCAACCTCATGAGGTTTCTAGCTGGGTTACTAGATATCTGAATGGGCAAAGGAAAACACAGACAATGGGAAAAGAGGACAAATGGGGNATTAATGCCCTCCCCAGCCCCCAGGAGCTCTCTGAAAGCCTCCTAAAGGCTATGCACGCCGATTTTGGTGAAGGGGGCGGGGTTACAGGAGGCAAAATGCTGTATTCAGTGTATAAGATGTACCCAGATTTTCAGCCCCTGTTTTGAGCTGGGCTCATCTTATACTCTGAAAAATATGGTAGCTATGAAAGACCTTGAAGCAGAAGATGGACCCTGTAGGTCCTTTTTCATTATCTTTAAATGGACAGATCATATGTAGGGAAACCAAGGAAAAAGCACACATGTCATGGCACTCTAATGATGGGGAAGTCAGTGTATTACGATATCACATTTTTTGTAACTACATATGGAAATATCGAAGTTGGCTTATAGAGTTTGTATTCTGTAGTGGGCTTCAATAGGCAACATCATTAATTGGCTCAAAATTGGAACTGAGGAACTGCAGGCAAATGCCTGTGATATATACTCAAGGCCCATAGGGCCTTAACCAATCATAGAACTAGATAAATCCCATCCAAATATAAATATTATAAATTTTCCCCAAAACAGTTGGGGCAGAGGTGGGTTGCTCCTGGTTTGGCCCGGTTTGGCCAAACCAGTAGTGGTGGCATTCAGAGGATCTGCCACTCCGCCCAGATGCTTCTGCACATACGCAGAAACGTTGCACACATGCATGAGCATACACACAAGCATGAGCAAACCGGTAGTAAACCGGCTAGCAACCCACCACTGAAAGTTATCTAAAGGTTAGTTTCATCTAAAGGTTACTTTCACTTTAGCACAGTTAACAGTTAGGGTCATGTAAAGTTTAGTTTCGCTTTAGCACAGTTAACATAACTATATACATTCAATACAAAACAGTTTGATTGTCAATACACTTGAATCCAGAGTCCTGACTTATTTCTCATTTGTTATGGATTCCATACATGCTTCTCACTTGTCCTCCGTCCATAATAATAGGTTTTCTTACCAAATTCAATATCATCATAATTTTCTTCATTTTCTTCGCCTCTACAAAACAGCAAAAGGGAATTTGTTAAGAAAAAGAAGAAAACCCATTGAAATATATTTTCTTTTGTGAGTGAAAGTGCATTATGCTTTATAAGAAACCTTTACTGGAAAAGGTTTAGCTAAGATCTCTGCCGTCTCTTTTTATGTTTTTAATCACAGAATGTGGTTCTTTCTTCTAGGAAGGGCTGACATGTTTTTAACATTTGCACTTGCAGTAATTGAACAAGGACTATTTTCCACATTATTTCCATGCTAGAAAATAAACTATGCTTATTGCATTTTTGCCTGCCATAGTAACCATACTAAAACGAGATCCATCCAGTTCTCAGTCCTATATTTTATACATAAACAGGACAATTTGAAATCAGGAGACTATGAGTTCTGGTTGTGCCTTAGCATAAAAGCCAGCTGGATAACTTTGCACCGGTGACATTCTGTCAGCCAATCCACTTCATAGAGTTGTTGTCATCAGAAAATAGGAGAAAAGATATGTTTGTCACTTTGAGATATTTGCAAAAATAATAAATATGGTAAATCTATCTATCATCTATCTATCATCTATCTATNACACACACACACACACACACACACACACATTTGTAGATTATGAAGGGTAATACTTACGTCATCTGCATTTCCAGTATCTAATAGATAAAAAGGAAAACAATTGAATTACATTATTATGCAGTCTAGCAATCAAAATACTAAGTCATGGGCAGCCCTTGTTAGCTAGTGATGTATGTGGAGGTGGGGGGGGGGCAGCAGGATGGGAAGGACAGGAATCAGGGTGGGTAGGCATATATAAGCAATGATGTCATGCAAATTCTGTCTGTTTTAACCTGCCTCGAGATGTTCCATACATGGCCAGGAGAGATGGAGTTGTGATACAATTCTATGTCACTATTTTTTATTATACTTCTTATATTCTTTATATAAAGGTAAAAGTAAAGGTTCCCCTCGAACATACGTGCTAGTTGTTCCCAACTCTAGGGGGCAGTGCTCATCTCCGTTTCAAAGTTGAAAAGCTACTGCTGTCCAAAGATGTCTCTGTGGGCATGTGGCTGGCATGACTAAACGCTGAAGGTGCACGGAACGCTTCCCACCTTCCCACCAAAGGTGGTCCCTAATTTTCTACTTGCATTTTTACATGCTTTCAAACTGCTAGGTTGGCAGAAGCTGGGACAAGTAACGGGAGCTCACTCCATTACGCAGCACTAGGGATTCGAACTGCCAAACTGCCGACCTTTCTGATTGACAAGCTCAGCGTCTTAGCGACTGAGCCATCATGTCCCTGATTCTTTATATATTCCATAACAATTCTCTGAAAGCATCATCTAAATCAAATATTAGCTCATTATATAACATGAACGCTGCAATGGAGTATTATTAATCCTTGTATTAATCCTTGTACTTAATCTGAAAATCCCCTTCATCTTTAGACTATTGTTTATCTTACGGTGACTCTGCATGCTTCAAAAATCCTTTGGAAAATGTGTTTTGGGTCTTATAGTGGAAAAGACTAGATTTGGGCAATTTGCATGCTACTCAGTCTGTTCCTGATGCTGTTTATTCAACCTATATGAAAACAGGCTTACTGTATTTTTCAAAGTATAAGACGCACCAAGGTTTTAAAGAGNCAAGACAATCTCAATCTTACATGGGAAAAGACCTGAATACAACAAGATCAGCATACTTACAACCATGAAAATCTACGAAAACACACGCACACATATATGTATATTCTCCAGTTCTTTGCATGACCTTCTTGAAAGAAGTTTTACCTTGAATTTCTTTCTGAGTTCTTGCTCCTTTTTATCCTTCTCCCTTTGTTCTTTCTTTTGATCAGCTTTTTTCTTTTCCTCCTTTTTCTTTTTTTCCTCTTCTTGTGGTGTAAACCTGCACAATAAGAAGGAGACTTAATACGTCATTCAGCTGTGATGATGAATTGCCCCAAAATATCGTTTTTTTTCTTCATTTTGTGGTTTTATTTGAGGTGCAGCTCAAAGTTTTAAGAAAGGGGGAAACTTAGCAAGATCTCTGAAATCAGATGATATGTACCACCCAGGGGTAGGTTCCGGCAGTAAGTTAATTTGCTCGTGGGCGCGCATGCACAGTGCAATTAAAATTGTTCTGCGCATGCACAGGGGTATGGCAGGCCTGGATTGCTGCTGGTTCCAGTGACCTAGGCTGCCAAACCACTACCGGTTCAGCTGAACCGGTCTGAACCAGTAAGAACCCACCACTGGTACCCCCTCACTTTCCTCAAATCAACATTTTTAAGAGGCATTTCAAAAAACAAAAAATTACCATTAGGGGAAAGAATTTCCCAAAATGTCTGTTAAAATGGGAAGTGTGTGTTTGGGGTGAGGGGATGTTGACTACCAACCTATTAAAGTTAGTAAATCTTGCTACTGCTTACATCTGCTATTTTGATATTCTAAATAGGGGATTTTGTACCAACATTTCTTGTATGCAACCTCACTTTTAGTGGAAAGACCAGCAAATTGAGTAACAATCTGTTTTCTTAATCATCCTGATTGTCAGTCAAATCCAGTATTTTGTAACCAGCCAAATTCCAAGGCCCAACTGCTTTTGGGTTATCCCAAAATATCTTCTGATTATGCTAACAAATTTCAGAAATAAAAATTACCAAGTTCTCCATTTGGCTATAAAGCTCAGGCTTAGCAAAAAGAAAGGAAGGAAGAATTTTGCAATATTCTATCTAATGTAACTTTACATTAAAAATTTGTTGATGCTGCTGGCTGCGGCTCTTGTCTGGGCTATCTCGAAGGGCTAACAGACATAGTATCCAGAAAACTAGAGAAGGTCCCTTTTGAAATACTTCTCAGGATTTCCCCCCATTTGCAAACCAAGTTCCCTCTTATCAGACTTGCTCAATATGCAAGTCTTCCTTCTATCCCACAAGGTCATTTCTGCATATCATCACACTCCCCCAGTATCTCCCCCTCCCAGTGACATGCAGTCACTAGAGGCAGGGGAGGCGGGGCCTCACCAGTCTCCTGAGGAAAAGGAAACTATTTTTAAAATAATTAAAAAGGTCAAAGTAGTTGCTNGGCCAAAATGCCCCCATTTTTACAAAAAATATCCCATTTTTCACCCATTTTTCACAAAAATGGGATGTGGGGGCGGGGCTTTGGGAACCAAAAATGGCTGTGTTTGGTGTATAAGATCCACCAACATTTCCACG